GGACTGGTGGCCCAAGTCTTCATGTCTCCAGAGCCTGCCATTACCAGGAGACAGTCTTAGAAACCCTTAGGACAAATTCTTAAGAATCTGACTGGCTTAACCCAATTTATAATTTGATATGTTTAACAGAGGTTGCTAAAACCTTGACCTTTATATTGTCACCCCTGGGGTGTGGAAGAGAATTGCCCCACTCTACCCTTTTGTAGTTCTTCTGGCTGAACTAGTTATAAAATAACAAAATTGACACGAGACTAGATTAACAGGAGAAAAAACTTGAATACGTGCACACAGGAGAACCACAATACGATGTTCAGATCATAAAATGAGGCTGAAAGCAGAGATTGAACTTGGCACCTTTTTATACTTTTTAGACAAAGAAACAATAAATTTGTGAGAAATTGACAGCACAAAGAAAGTTAGTGCTCATTAGGAAGGAATCTAAGCAGGTTTGGGTACTCCTTGGTGAGGAATCTAAACAAAGTTTGGGCTTGGGTAGTAAATTGGTAAAGGCATTACAAGGTTTGTTTATATAGGCTTTTTCGACTCTGGATTTTATAACTCTTGTGATAAGGTTGTACCTCAGTCCTTTAGGACCGGGGAGGGGACCTATCATGGAGATTTATTTCCTGCTTTTAGGAGGAAAAAGAAGAGTCAGAGAGCTCTTTCTGCTTTTGCTGCTTCTCAGCTGATTTTAGTTCAAAATAATCACTGTGCCATTGTGGAATATCTTGGGGCAGCCTGCCCTGGGTCCCGACATCACCAAGCCAAAAGACTACATTCCCAGCTTCCCTTGAGTATCAGTGTAGGTCTGAATCTAAATTCTATGCAATGAGATATAAGCAAATGTGCTGTGTGAGTCTTCTGGGAAGTTTCCTTGGGGATGGATGGGATGATGTGATGGCTGGAGCTCTGACTGTCACCTTGGAGCCATGAGCACAAGGGTCACATCCTTTGAGAGAACAGAAAGTAAGCAGGAAGAACCTGGGTCACTGATGAAGTCCCTACATCATCCCTAGATGACCTACATCCAGGCTTCTTTTATGTGAGAGAGAAATACATGCCCATTTTTTAAACACCTATTTGGGGGATGTTGCAACTGAACCTAAACCTAACTGATAGCTTCCTCTGATCCAACAAGCTGTGACCAGAGATGCAAGATACAAGGGATACTGACCAGGTAGTGAATCCCCCCATCTGAGCAGAGATCCCAGGAAAAGAAACCTGGGACAAGTGGGCAAAGCATTTGGAGTATTCAGCACAATTGCTGAGTTCCACTGCCAGACCACTTGGGTCCCTATGAAAGAGAACTACCAGGATGCACAGAAATTTTGGGGGTGGGCCGGTATCACAGAACATGCACCAGGGTAAAAATTAAAATTAATGGAGAAACAGGCTCTGGGCATGGAATTGTGGATAATGTGGCTGCAGGCCAGGTGGGCAGGTGCCCTGAGCAGATGGAAGTCAATTGTTCTGCTAATAATTGAAGAAACATTGGTTATATTTTTTTCAGGGATCTGGTTAACTCATTTCCTTTGGCTGCTTAGGGCTGTGATTTATAGGCAGCAAAGTCACTTAGGATGATAAAGCCCCCAGGCCCATGGCAAACTGCTAAGATTTTTCAAGAAGTAAAGGACCACGTGAACATCCCAGTCGGTTTCTCCTGACTGAATGATACCCAGAGGAAACAGGTTTCAAAGGTGTCTCCATTGTTCACAACCCCAGGAAGAAAAACGGGAGGAATCAAGAAAAAATACTATGCTATGAAGAAACAGTGAAGTGTTACATTCATTTCAAACATATGACATGTTTTGAAAGTCCTGGAACAGGTTTTCCTAAACTGCAACTCCCAGAGGACACAGGTCCCATCATCATTTTTCTCCTTTTCTCTAAAATCTTTTAATGGGTTGAGAAAAATTGGTTCAAATATCAATTGGTTTGAATACATGTATTCAATAAAAGGAAGAATAGATGTTATTTTAAAACTAGCCTATCTGCTATCCAACCGTGTCCTACTGGGCTATGGCCTTTCTGTTTAACTTCTTTTCTTTTCTTTCTAACTGAATAAATCCTAAAAGTATGTACATAACCTCTGTCTGCTAAAGAAGCAACATGCCTGCAACACTGGTGCCCTCAAAGCTGCCGTTATCGCTCTGGGTCACGGGCGCCGCAGGTCTGAGCTCAGCCACAAATGGTAGACACTCGTGTCAAACACAGGGATTTAAAAAGAAATCAGTTGATCTCCACGTTCAGAAAAAAATTGTAAATGGTCTGTAATAGAAAACGGAAAAAAACCAAAAACAGCAAAGTAGTTCGTTCTCAGGCCTTAGTACAGATCACCAAAGACCTCAATTTATATAGACAGGAAATCTTTGTGGAAATAAAAATAAATAAATAAATAAATAAATAAATAAATAAAAAAGACAAGCCAAATAAGAAACACAATGGCTATTTATTCAGAGCTTGCTATATCACTATATCAGCCACTGTCACTCCAAGGCAGGCAGAGGAGTGGGAAGCTTCACAATGAAAAAGGAAAGACTTCAGGTGTGCCTGAAGGAGGCTGTCCACCTGGGGAAGCTGTAGGCGGACTAACTGGATGCGGGGTGTCTGCATCCTGTGTTATTGGTTAGGGGGGCATATTTAGCTTTCTCTGGTTGGTCCTAAGTTAGAAATGGGACAAAAATTAGGGGTGCCGTCAGTTTATTAATCAAGTCCCGGCCATTTGGGACCAATTGTTTCAAAAATGATTGTTTATCTTTTTGGATTGTTACTGGAGATAGCAACCTGCTTCCTGCAAATCTGACCCATAGAAAGCTGGTTCCCGGGGCTGGTTATTACAAAAATGGGTTGGCTTCCTAGGCCAGTTGCTGTAGGCTGTGGGTCAGGGTTCTATTTTTATATGGCATCTAGCCACTGTCTCCAGGCAGCTGACCTATAGCCAGCAAGGTGATTCTCAACATTTCTAGGGAGCCCCTTTGGGAGACAGCTAATTCCTATTGGACACCTTGACCAAGAGTGCCTACGGACACACCTGCTTATGTGAGTATATCCCCGAGATGATCCCCAAGATGGGGAGGAGGGAAGGGAAGGCTAGGTCATAAGGGAGCCCTGTGAGGAGACAGGGAACACTGCTCAGGGCTTCTCAGCCCCCGCTGTTGGTTAGAAGCCTGTGGGCAATTTTAAACAAATACTGATGTCAGGGCCCTACCCCACCCCCAAAGACTCTAATTTTATAGAGCAGGGCTGGACGTCAGTCTTTTGTCAAAACTTCCCAGGTGATTCTAATGTGCAACTTGGTTGGCAGCTATTGACCAAAACCTTTGAGAGACTCTTGGGAACCAATACTTAGCAATTAGTGAAAGTGAAATAGGGCGTGCAGCCATGACCACTTCCCCAAGAGGCCTTCAATCGGTCTTGTAATGTGGGGCTTTAGAAATATAAGATGCAGAGTGAAAGTGAACTAGAGTAGCAAATAGGCAATGGTCATAGAGTATGAGCCTACCAACGTGATATGAAAATGCTGCAGGATTGAAACCAGGGGCGTGAACAACAAAGGGGTACACTTCAAACAACCACCATAAAAACGACTGAAAGCCTGCCTATTCTGAAAAGCATTTTTCATTTTTTGCTTTTTACCATTAAGAAATGTATTTCCCTCTTTAAATGCTATTTTATTATAACATATTATTTCTTACAGATTTCGTGTGATGAGTGTGTGTGAGTGTGTGTGAGAGAGAGAGAGAGAGTGTGTGTGTGTGTGTGTGTTTTCAGTCTGTCTTGTACATTTGTGCATTTCTCAAATACTTTAAACAGGATTCAAAACAATAAGCATTTGGGGCATATAAACTCCAAAACCTCAACAGAATCTTCTACTCACTCAATACACTTGGTATCCAGTTTTTATTTCTAGTCATTCCTAAATTTTCAAATTTACCAATTTATCTGAATTCGATACAATACCACCCCCTGGTGGAAATCTATAGAGAAGAACCCACACTTGAATGCTCTCTCTCTCTCTCTCTCTCTCTCTCTCTCTCTCTCTCTCCCTCCCTTCCTCTCTCCCCCCCCCCAACCCTCCCAGCAGCATTTTCTCTTCAAACAAAATCATATGCAAAAGCACAAAATGAAAGAAACAGTAAAAATAAAGCTGTGCTGGGGGCTCTCTCTTTCCCACATTCTCATTGCCAATCCCACATCTCCCTCAGGATACCCAAAATAGAACTTATCGCTAAACATAAGCCATCTCCCTCAAAAATTAAAATAAAATTACTTCTATTTCTCCCAAGCTTCCTTGTCTCAATGAATAGCACCTCCTTTACCATCCACTCAAGCTAAAATCCTCCCGAGGATTCGCAGCACACATGAACAAATTAAGGCTCGGAATAGGCCCAAGTCAAGGAACCAGGTTAGATTTAGTTAACTCAGCAATTCCCAGACACATTTTATCATGAGACACATTCCCTTTCTCCCCAGTACTTTTTAACAACTTGCAGAAAACTCTGGTTATATTTCATTCAGAATGATCGTGCCATCTTACTTAGCAAATTAGCTTTTTGGCTGCACATGCTATCCAGTCTTCAAAAATGCTTAGGCGAAGTCAGCCATACAACAAACCAGCTCTCAATAACCTGTGGCGATGGAAAGAGCAATGCTCAGGTGATTGACCCCGGACAGCTATTGAGTTGATGCCAATCAATGGGCAACTTCATTCCTGTCTTCTACCAGGAATTCTTCTAGCAGGAATCATGCTTTATCTTCCATTAAATGAAATAAGCCTATGTTGTGTGATCATCATGTAATTTTATTTACAGGGATTATAATTCTCATTTGACCACAACTTTCAAGCATCATGGGCAGCTCTGCAACTGACAGTGAGTTCAGTGATTTCCATATATCACCTCTTCCTGTGGATTTATGAGCCAAAAATGTCAAAATCCCTACAGCTTCCAGCATCCGTGTAAATTAGCATAGATCCTTGGATACCAGATCAAAAAGAAGTCTTTTCTTTTAACAAAATTTTATTTTTAACAAAAATAGAGCTTTGTGCCCTATGACATTAGTACTAGACTTAAGTCTAGTACCAGATTAGTATTAGATTAGATTAGTACTAGTCCTAAATCTACTGATACATATTGGATCATTTCTAATTTTGAAAAGAAATCATAATTTGATCAATAGTCTCCAGGGACATTTGCTGTCATGTCATGTCATGTCACTTATAGCTTTGAGTTGGGAGTGGAGGTCCTGAGGGCTTGGACACACTCACTCAACAGCCTGGCGGCCTCGAGAGCAGTACCCCAGTGCACACAGAAGCCCCCACTCCCATGGCCATAGTGGTGGACTACAGGTAGCCTCCGGCCATTCCGGGCTAGGAACTCTTTCTGCAGCCGAATGCCTGCCCTGAAGGGCCTCAAGCCCACCTTCTCCTTTATGTCGCAAGCTCCATGGAGGGAAGGCTCTAGAGCACAGCATCGGGAAAGAATATCTCTGCTAATTTCCGCATCTGGGACCAGATTCCAGTCTCCCTTTTGCCTACTTCCACCCAGAGATACGTTGGATACACCAGGGTAAATATATGTCAACCCACTCCCATCTCGGATAAAATGCTTCACCCATGGAGCCTGGACTTTGAGCAGCTGGCCCCTCACGGGGAAAATCTTCAAGTCTCCCACCAGCTCTCTGCTTCCAAGGCCTGAACAGTTGACCACAATGTCGAAGGATGGGTGAAGCTCCCACAGGTCTTCTATTCGCCGGGTGAGTAGCTGGCCCCCACTTTCTTTCACTCTGAGGAGAACGAGAGACCAGGAGATGAGCCTTAGCCACTTCCTGTTCAACCGCTTATAAGAAGTGATGGACAGGAACATGGTGACAAACATTTTAAGAGCTTCCAGTACCTAAGCAGATACAATTCTAGCCATCGACTGCTCCACATCCTTGGAAACTGGGGACTCCTAAAGTTGAACCTAAATAAAAACCTATTTCAAAAATTCAGAACAAGAGAAATTTTATATACCTTGTCCTTTTTATGTTTAGTAGAGTTCCTATGTCATTTAGATGCTAAATAAACTCCAAGTTAATCTGGTATTTTAAATTTCCAAGCATTTCTTGTTTATGCCATTTATTTAGCACATAAATGTACTGCTTTGGAATTTTGTCTCACATTGTTAGCTCTAGCATGTTCCTTTGTATTAGTCTGGTCTTTCAACTAGATGGTTGGGACAGGGGTCATGTGCTTTTCCTCCTTCTGTCTAACACAGGGACGTTAGCATGAGAGTGACACAAAATATTTGCAGCCGATGGACTAAATGACAGTTGTGGTTGATAAGGATTTTTTGGATGAAGTACATCAATAATGGAAAGAGATGGCTTATCCAGGCCCTGTAATCTTTCTTTCTAATTGTAGTAAAATAGACATAACATAAAACGTACCATTTTAAACATATAGTTCAATACCATTAAGTTTAATTCATTCACATTGCTGTGCATGAACCACCATCCCTCTCCAGACTTTATCTGACAAAACTGAACCCAGGCCCTACAATCTTACTCAGAGGCCATTTGTCAAATATAGGAGGTGTAATATGAGAATAAGACTATCAGAGCTCTGTTCAACCAATGTAGGTTGAATGGCTGGGTACAAGGCACTGCTAAGAGAGACCAAAAATGTGTGAGGCATGGTGCCCTTCCTCAGGGGCTGACACAGGAGCTGGGCGATGGAAGTGAAAATACTTGTCAGAATGAAGTAAGTTCCAAATGAGAGGCAATGTAGAATCAGAAAGCATGGGTGGAAGTCCCAGTTCTGCCTCACATTAGCTCTGAGGTCTTGGCCATCTCACCTCACTTCTCTGACCCTCTTGTTTCCGCATCTGTGTCATGAGGGTGACACCTCCCTTGCCTGCCTCAAAGGATAGCTGTGAAGTTCCATTAAAATAATGGGCATGACTCTACTTCAAAAGATGTGAAGCACAATAAATTTTAGGGGACTAATACCAAGAAATTATAAATTTCTCAAGGGAAGAGATTATGTCTTATCCTTCTTACTATCCCTATGACCCAGCTCAGTGCCCAATATCTATTGCCTTGACATCGTATTGGCCAATACTGAAGACAATATGAAATGTTGGTTTGGATGTATGATGGTTAATTTTATGTGTTGACTTGACTGGACCACAAGGTGCCCAGATATTTGGCCAAATATTATTTTATTTCTGTGAGGGTGTTTGGATGAGATTAACATTTAAATTGGCAGACTTAGTAAAGCAGATTGCCCTCCCAATCTGGTGGGTGGGTGGGCCTCATCCAATGATTGAAGACCTGAATAGAACAAAAGGCTGACTCTCCTGCTGCTAGACTGCCTTTGAATTAGGACACTGACTTCCTCCTGCCTTCAGATTCAAACTGAAACATTGGCTCTTCCTGGGTCAGGAGCCTGACTTCGGCTCTGCTGGGTCTCCACCTTGCTGATTCACCCTGCAGATCTTGGAACTTGTCAGAACCCATAATCGTGTGAACCAATTCCATAATATATAATATATGATATATGATATATACACATATATTTATTACATATTTATATATAACATATATTATATGTCTATATCTATCTAATATAATATATATATTAGATAGATATAGATATAGATATAGATATATATAGATATTGATATACAGTAATACCTTTGTTTGTGAGCATAATTCGTTCCAGAAACAAACTACTCGTATTGCAAGACATCGCTCTTTTACCAAGTTAAAATGTATTAGAAATGTTTGCTCATCTTGTGGAACACTCACAAAGCAAGTTACAATCCAAGGTTTTACTGTATATACATCCTATTGGGTTTTTTTCTCTGGAGAACCCTGACAAACAACAGAGAGGCACCACATTAGCATCCTCTCTAACTGCTGCAACTCAAGCCTGTTCCAGGCAGACGCTGAGGAGGACTGACACCAGAAATGCGCTTGTATGCTGCCAGAGTGCTTATACGCTATCTGCCCCTGAGACAGCAGAAGTGGTGGTGCCAGCAGCTCTGAGCACCATCTGCCTTCAAGGTCAGATAAAGAGAGGTTTAATGCTGAAAGGAAACATAAGAAAAGGCAGAAACTTCCAGAGCATAAATAAGAGGTGTCTGAGAAAGTGGTAGATGGCGGCAGGGTTTGACATTGATTTTAATTTAGAAAGGAGGAGCTCTTTGAAGTGATTCGAACTTTCCCCTCCTGCTTCCTGGTTGGAGAGTTTAGTTGAAAATTGTATGAAGATCTGCAGGAAGTCAGCTATCTTCTGGTCCCCGTTTCTAGCAAATGCTGCAAGCTGATGAGAATGGAGGAGATCCTTTGCTCCTCCACTGTGTCATAGACCCTGACCCCAACAGCTCAGCTTCCTAGTCTGTAAAATGGCAGCACTGGATTATATCAGTGGCTTTCCAACTTCTCCCTCATCTGGCTGAAGGGTAAGCTGTTGAGGGGAGCTGAGCAGGTCTCCATCTTCTTTGTCTCTGCACCCCCACCACCCCCACCACTCTGCCTCTGAAGTATCTCCATGAAACAAGAGCAGTTTGAAACCTCTGGATTAGATTCATTTGTTATTCAACAAATATTTGCTGGGAGCCTGTACTGTGCTAACCAGTGCGAGGCTGGAAGAGCCCAAAGCCTACCTTTTGCATTAAGTTCATACGAGTAGGTAGTGCACGTAATATTAAACATTAGCTGGTGTTTCAAGCAGCAATGCTCCAAATAACAGAATTTAAGTTCTAAGTGCTGGCGCCTTTACCCCATGTAACCTTGCTTGTTATTCTGAAAAATCACAAAAGACAGTATGTTGTTTACCTGAAACAAGAAAACCAAAGAAAAGGATCTAACCAACATCCATACTTTAGGGCCACTGAGAACCAATAAAGCAAGTGGACTACTTTTTAGTGTAGCTAAAAGTCGTTAAAAGAGAGAATGATCTGGAGCTACTGTCTTATTTGTTTTCTAAGTAAAATAGTTCATACAAGTTAGTATAAGAGGTATAACTATGCAACGTGTGTGTATGTGTTTGTTTGTTTTGACACTGTCACAGAAAAAAAGAGTAAATTGAAGTTTTGTGGCAATAGTGACCAACATATTACAGTACGTACACAATCTTTAAAGTTGCGAATGGAAAGAAAACTTTCAAAAAGAGTTTAGGAGGGCTCTTCCCTTTACCAATTACCTTGGTCAATTTACGCAACTCCTCTAAACTAATCCTCCATCCATAATTTGGAAATAAAAATACTGACTTTAGAGGCTCATTGTAAAAATGAAATGAGACAACATCTACAAAAACTCTGATATAGTGCATAACACATTGTACAGTTGCTCAATAAGGTTTTTTATAAGAAAAAAAAGGGGTTAGAGGTTTGTTATGCTACTGTAAAATGCAAGACCCAGTATCTCATATATGTAAGTATGCATGCCCACCACACCCATATATCACTTACATTTAATTATGTTTTATAATCTCTAAGAATGACATTTGAATTTTTAAAAAAATGTTTAAAATTGACCATTATTTGAACATTATCTTGGTTTTGCTTTTAATACATTGTGGATTCCATGTGTTAATAGTTCTACATTATGTTCTGTGTTCCAACCATCCTAATTAGAACTCAGAATTATTCCAATTCAGAAAAATAAGGGAATTTACCAGCCTTGGAATTAGAGCAAATTTCTTAAACTCACTAAACTTGTTTTCTCAACTATAACCTAAGGATAACAATGCTGAGCTCACAGAGTTTTTATGATGATGATGTAAGAATTCAATAAATGCAAATACCCTTTTCCATTTCAAGGGTACCCTGCTGGTTGAGCTACTGATGAAAGTCCATGTTTTACCTGGAAACTTCTTAAATTATCATAGTAGATTGGTTGTTAGAAGGCCCTGTCAGGACTGCTATGCTGGGTCTTTCGCAGGCCTCACACTCCAGGAAGAAACTTACTGAATGTGCCCAGGGACCAGACATCCTTGTGCTATTGTAATGTGACCACACGGTGATGCCCAGTCAGTACTGTATATCCCATGGGCAATGCATCAGGGTGGCACCACAGTGTAGGAGGAAACTGTACCTGGAAGGTGGATGTGAAATTAGATGACCAGGCAACCTACAAGGCTGCTTTTATGACCATATGAAGTAGTTATTCTGGAGGTTTTGAGTAACATGGTCAGGGGTATGAGAAGCCTTGTGACTTTGCTCTTAGGAATTCCTGCAACTGAGCAAGACCTCATTCTGGACAGGGAGAATACCATCGCCCCAGCTACCCACGAGGAAATGGGGAATGGGAGGACTCAAGAAGCTGTGCCCATAGCCCCAGCCCAGTGTTCTCTGGTCATTACCCTAAAGCCCAACAGTGTCCATTTTCACCACGCCTAAAAGCCAACTCTCTGCTGGACCACATCAGCCTGACCCATAAACATGGGGGATGTTTTTCTTCAGGGCCCTTCCTTTAGCTCACCGGGAGTTCCACTAAGCACTTCTTTACACAACACACACACACACACCACCTCCCAGAAGCAAAGGGAAGTCCCATCGTCCCCTGCCTTCTAGTGGGACTAGAGGAAATTCCTGCACCCTGCCTGCCATCCCCCGCCCAAGCCCTGTAAGAGAGAAATCCTGGGCAGCACCGAACGGAGAGGTGGGGATTCTGAGGTGGACACCTGCGGTGGGAGAAGTACAGGGGGAAGGCAGGTCCCTGGTGAGCTCTGGTACAGAGGGATGGGGCTGCTTGACAGCAGAGGGCTGCAGGAAGGAGGCACAGACCTTGGAGTG